CACAAACTTATTTACAAGGTTGCATGCACGTGTTACCCCAATTAACTAATTTTACCCTAAATACAGTCTGATCGTACAGCAAGTGTCAACTGAACATGTGATAATGCAGTCTGACCGCTCTAATGTGACCGCTACCGTAAAATGGGGTTACTTTGACCGGCGGGGTAACTTTGACCACTTTTCGTTTTTTTAACAAATACCCCAAAACTCAAAAACGATTTGACATAGAAAAATTTTGTCAATGGCCATCAAAGGCCTAACACTGAGGCTACAGAGTCTTATATATGGTAATTTTAACTTAATTTCCAAACCGGTCAATGTTACCCCATAACGGCTGCCATTAGACGGTCACATTTCGCCCATTGGGGGGCGGCGCCTCCCATTTGCAAACTATGACACTTTCCTAAAATTTGTTTTTTGCATATGTAACTGGAAGAGTTCTACTACAATGCACCACAACCTGGAATTATTTGGAGTTATTTTGACAAAAAATAAAATTGATTTTACCACCTGGTCAAAGAAACCCCAAGAGCTGGGGTAACAAAGACCATCACTTTTTTTGAAATTACATCAAAACTATGAGAGGTAGGAGCCAGCAATTTATGGTGAGTAAAGCTAGAGTATAGACCTGTATTTTGCACGTTTCAATTTAAGTTTATCTTATTCTAGTAAAATGGCATCATTTTGAAAAAAAAAATGGTCAAAGTTACCCCATTTTATGGTACTACATAATCGTAAACTTGATGTTTTCATTTTTTTTGTGGGAAGCCGGGAACTCATCTCAACTGATTTCTGGACAAGCTTCACTGCATCCTGATCCATCCACCCAACATACCGGAAACCTTACTTTTTTTTAAAGTTGGCCGAAGACTGACATATATATTAAATGCAAGAATTTCAATCTAATTGTGTTGGCAAGATCTGAAGTCAGTGTGGAATTCTGTATAGTTAATATATTCTCATGTTAATATAAGAAAACGTATCGAAAAACCAACCCTACCACCACGTTACACCAAATCACCTTCCACTGCAGTGAAAATTTATAAACTGAGCTCATTAGAAACCCGCTCTTCCGAAATCGCGCGTGGTTTGAAATCCAATCCCGTGTTGCCAACGCCGAATCAAGTTAACTAGTCGTTTATCTGTAGGCTAGCTGACAAATTTTTGCAATGAATACGTTCTAAAATAAAAAAAAGAACATCCAGAATCATAAAAAATTATCACGATTGGACAATAACAAGAAAATTCTTGATATCACACAAAAGTATGAGATAAACTTCGACTTTTCCAAGGCGTACATTCACATCATGTTTCCACAATCATATCTGACATGGCAGCATCACAGGCATAGCTTTTGGTCATGTCAAGTTCGATTTCACAATAATTAGACTTGATCCACATTCCATACTGACATTTAAATGATGGAAATTTCTTTCAAATTATAAATACCAATTGATACGTGTCCAGACATATATTTTTTCATGTTTTTTGCCTATTTTGTCGATATTGTCTACATAATTAACTTCACCTCAGATTCTAAATGATTTCGTCTGCCATCCCGCGTTTTTGAACGTTTTGTGTCTTTTAGAAAATTTTCATTGTTTAACATGGGAAACTATCTCATTATAGAAAACATAGAGCACGTACCATATAGTCCATTAATAATACAAATTAATTTAATAAAAATTAATTTTTAATTTAAAAAATATAATCAGATTTTTAATTAAACATTTTTCTAATAGAATTTAATTCTACAGCTTGTACCAACTAGTGTATTAAATAATAAAATTTGATTTAGTAAAATTTAATTTTAATTAATTTTTTTATCATACATCACATATGTTATTCATACATCACAAATTGAGTGACAATGGATGGATTTGATAGGTATTTTATTAATCCTGTTTATATATATGAACGGAAATGACGTTTCTATTTCAGAATGATAATGGAAATGTTCCTACTATTTCAGAAACTTTTCTTGAATACACTTGCGAAAACTAAAGTTCTGCAATCAATGAGGTCTTCGATAATGACAAAATTGTTCAATTTAAAATTTTTAGCTATATGAGTGAGACCATCAAATTCATCATTCATCAATCATCATAGAATCTGTAAGCAAAAATTCATTGTTTTTGATGTAAAAGAATGTTTTTCAATTAAAAGAAATGCAATACTTGATTTTTGGAAATACGATGCTAAAATTAATGATCCGTATTAGAATTCAATAGACGTTATGATTTCAGAATTATCTTCAAAAAGTGTGTTTTTGTTCGTTTGATCAGAAGTTTTTGTTCGTTTGATCATAAACTACATAATTATTCATTCTCTTGCACTAAGTATACGAATGATTAGTTGGACTCCGTTACTACCACGTAAGCTTGATATAAGCTTTTTGTCCTTTCAATAAACAGAGTTTATTTAGATTCTATTGACTGTAATAGCCTAATAGGTAGAACGATGCTACATATTTGCAGCCATTTAATGATTGGGTTAACAGCTTTGACTCTTGATACCCATACTATTGTACAAATATTGTGGTAGACACATCATAAAGATGTTTCAAGGCTAAGATTCTTATTTCAAGGATAATAAATCGATTCGTAATTGTTTACTTCCACCTATAGATATAAATGAACATCATTCAATATATTTTAATTGCTTCTCATGAATTCGCATTAAAATATTTATTTTGAAATCAACCATGTCAGAGTAACAAAATAATTTGTTCACGTTTTAGGCTTCCAAAAATATTTCAAACCTCTATCAAAAATATCATAATTAATCATTCTCTTGCATTGAGCATATGAACGTTATGCCGCCTTGTGCTGCCGCATCCGCGATCATCATTCGTTTCTGTCAGTTGCATGCCAGGAGCCTGCTTTCGTTGTTGTTCTATGTAGTCTCGCAGTCTCGCTCCCATGAATTGCGTGTTTATTGTGTGCATCATGGAAAAGTTCTTTGATGTCACATTAAGAGACAAATCTTTAACGAACTAGTACTTTTTATAATTTTAATTGTTGAGTGCAAGCTGCCCTGCACTCTGCAGACATGCAACATTTCCAGGTGAAGTGATTACTTTATAGAAACTTTTATACCTTTACCTATACGTGTTTAAGCCTATAAGAAGTTTATTTTTTTGCCTCAAATAATGTTGTATCGAAAAACTGGTCTAGGTGTAGTGAAAATAATATATGAACTGTAAATTTTAGAATTCCATCCTGCTATTATAGTCTATAGGATTTTGAATCGATGCATGCATTCAAATTCAAATTAGGTCCACCCACGCAGACGCTCTACGGCCAGTGTAGCTGTCAGCTCACCTTCTTCAGAAGTGTGAAAGCTTTTGCCGGTGGAGGTGTGTTTTACGATCGGTCCGTAAAGAAGCGTTGATCGGTTCAAAATGACATAAGAACAGGTTCTTTTGAATAACCTATGGATTGGCACCATGTCAGGATGAGTGATGACGGTATTACGTATCAGTAGAATTTGAAGCGCAGATGTAGGCTAATACGCCTCACCACGTGCCAAATATTGCCACACACAGTGTCGGAATAGGCTATAGGGATTTGGTAGGTTTGCATTCTAAAGGCTTTTAAATAAATATGGCAACATTTTGTGACGTTTCGTCATTGCTGGCGCGTAGTAGGTACAGTGTTTTGCGAGTCAAATAAAGCAAACAGAACTCGAGTAATGCATACAGTTATTTTTTTATAGTTTTTCCATTTCTCGATGCGTCCTTAATGCATAGTGGCAAAGCAGAGAGTTTTTTAGACTCTCACTCAAGTTCATTTTTAAGTCTTATAAGTAGACCAGTAAAGTATCATGGTCCATTCATGGATACCAGCTTTATCATACTTAAGAAATTGGCTTAAATCTTGAGTACACAAGGAAAATAAAAATGAACTGATTCTAAACACTCTGTGCTTTGCCACTATGCGCTTAATGTGTCGGAATATAGGGTAAACACGGTATATTCCGACATCGTAGGTAATTCCGTCACTTCTCTAGTTTTTCCTTTATATTAAGCTTTGTTTTAGTTCCATGCGTTCATTGATGGTTGAAATGGTGACGTCATACATTTGCGTGTCGAAATACTGCAAAAACACTAGGTCTTGGCCATCTAGCGGGAAAATATTGAGATCCAAAGAGAGACAATGCATGCCACGTGGTGAGATCATCAAAAAATGTGTCAAATTTGACAGTTGACATGGCTCTACCAAATAGTGAATAACTGTTTTTATAGGAAGAATATTATGGTTTGAGACTTTTAAATACGTCTGTGAATATATTAGGAATCCTTTAAGTATACTTGTATTCGCTGATTTCAAGTCGTAAATAAATTAATAGATGATTAAGTTGAGATGTTGGATTTCGACACATGAAAACTAATTCCGACACAACTTGAATTGGACACACACAGATCGTTCAAAGCTTTGTACAAAAATTGAAATTTGCTTAATTAAAAGCCTAATAGCTGTTAATTAAAACGTAATTAAGTAGTGTTCAATATTCGTTAGTGTTCTAATTCAAAGCCGTGTTGTATCCCAATACAGCTCACACAGCAAACGGAATTCGAACACGTGGATGTCGGCAATACGGATCAGTTAAATTTGAAGCGCTGACGCAATACGACTCACCACGTGTCGGATGTTGCCACACAAAGTGACGGAATATAGGGATTTGGTAGGTTTCCATTCTAAAGGCTTTTTAATAAATATGGCAACATTTTGTGACGTTTCATCGTTGCTGACGCGTAGTGAAGTGTTTTGAGAGTCATGTGAAGGCAACAGAACTTACGTAACGCATACGTTTTTTTTTATAGTTTTTCATTTCTCGATGCGTCCTTAAAGTGTCGGAATATACCGCGTTTACCCTACTAAGAGAAAGAGTTAGCTATTTGAAATTTATAGACCAATTTTAAAATTAGTCCATTATTGTAATTACATCATATAATTTATACTAGGCCTAACTTAATGCAAAAATGACTTTTAACTTACCATCTTGAGAGGCCATTGAATTTAGAAGTTCCAGGTTGGCAATAGATCATAAAATGAGTGTGCTATAGAAATGGCATTAAAGCCATTTCCAATGTGAATTTTAGAATAAAATAGCAACTTGCAATAAATTTCAAAATTTTCAAGAAAATACAAGAATTCTTTATTAGGCATGTAGAAGAATTCAGTTAAAAGTACACAAATCTTATACGGCGTAGTACTACGGTACTTGACGGATAGGTTATATAGTTTTTACAGAATTGAATTGCAACAAAACATCGATTGCCAGACAACAAACAATACAGAAACACTGTCGCGCATGCGTCTAGCATCTGGTGTACATTAACAGGGCTCAAGGGTGTGAAAAATTAAATCAATCTATCAGCCAGGCATGTTCATTTGTTAGGTGACTTCAAAACACCACATCAAATGCATTCAGCGGTTCAAACTCGTTATAAAAGTGTTACGATTAATTGCATCTCGAACCAAGCAAACTTTTTCTCTCACTGTATTTTTAGACAGTACGGAGCGGAACTTCTCATCTACTCGATAGGAATTCTGTAAGCGGAAACTCAATATTTTCTGACTCAATCATTTCCTTGGGTGTTTTAATTTGAAACAATATTCATCGAGATTAAGTATGCGAAGTTAAGTTATGATATTTTTACCACTTAGTAAGTTCGATAATAAGATCTATGTGAAACCCATTCACATAAACATACACAAATAACTTGAAATCATATTTTGAAAATTCATCATTCAGACCACATGGAAATAAAACGTGTTCAACATTACACGCATACCTAATTTCAAGTTTAAATGCTAATTAAAACGAAGTGGATAAATAATCTGGCTATGCTAGGAAGAGCGTGTTGTGACTAAAAAGTTTTGTAATCAATTAGGCCAGAACCGATCAGGTTATGGGTCTTTAATTACAGGAGTCTTTCCTCGCTTTTCATCAGGAGCTACAGAAATGAGCTGAAAGAACAATGTTGAGTTTGAAGTGAGCTTTCAATTTAAGTACTGAGAGCAGGCGAAATCCAGGTACGCCGACAGGGGAAAGACGACTGATGTGAGATTTGATTTCTATGTAGTTTTGGAGTTTGTAGAGTCGACATTATGTTAGATAATTTGGTAGTCCAATATTTATTCGTGAGCTCTAAATTTTTTAGGGCAGCATGTTTTCGTAGCTATTCTACAGCCCGTAGCTCTTATTTCCAGTCGAAATCGATTTTCATGTTGGTAAATTTTTAACGTTGTAAGCGACAATAATAAATTCGATGGTCGATTTTTGGGAAGATTGAGTGAAATAAAGAAAATAATTAGTGTAAATCGTTTTGTATCCTTGACGACTAACTAATAATTATATCAGGATATTTTGAAGTCAGATCAAAGCAGAAGAGTTTTAACTTGTTGTGAACACCTGAATTGTGAACTGAGGTCTGGTAGATCCTGCATGACACTTCAAGATACAACAACCGTCTCATTGTAATGATTGTCAATATAGCAGCTGATGTAGTCCTTCAAGCGGAGTTCTGAATAACATGTAGGCTTGCGCCTGTCTTTGTGACTGCTGTCGTGGCAGTAATTCCCTGCTTCGCCGCTCTTCTCGTCTTCTGGCTTGAATACACCCCACTGATCTACAGACAACAACCTCCTTCTCGGACGTCATGAGTCTCTCCGGACCACTGTAGCTGGCCTACTGCAAGTCTTCACCGTAGTTCTGATAACCTCTCGAACACGGTTGCTGAGGTTTACCTCTCAAACACGGTTGCTGAGGTTTACCTCTCAAACACGGTTGCTGACGCTGGACCCGCAGTGGGATATTCCTAGTATCCCATTCAGCCGCCGATAGAGATAGAATAGAATAGAAGTGTCGGCGTTGAAGACATAGGCCCATGGCCTGTTGCCGATTCTTGAACTTTTCGTGACTTGATTCACAAGGGATCCGGCCTTTGGAACCCGATCTTTCCATAACTGACGATTGATTGAGATAGCTGCTGGACTTATTGCCTGCTCCGTAATTTGCTAGGCATTTTAAGACTGAACATATGCTCCTGCATAGCTTCGTCTAGTCTGTTTTTGAAGATGTTCATACTCGGACTCATACCCGTACTCACCTACTACGATCAGCCGATGGAGTATGTCAAATCTGTGTGGCCGATGTGATGTGACGTTGATTTCCAGTAAATTATTTTTTTAATTAGTGTTCAGTACAATAGGAAATAGCAAGTTTCTGGGTTTGCAGGCGAACCTAATCAAAAGGCACGTGTGGATTTTAAGGTAAGTGCTTGTATCTATATTTCAGACTCCAGACCCTCACGAATTAATTGAATTATTTCTCCGTCATTCATTCTCCGTTATCTCTTCGTCATTACTAAAAATAATGTTACATGCAGATTGCAGAATTAAACCCTAGGATACGCAAGTCTGTCACACAGGGAACGGTACTCGGCCCAATCCTCTTCCTCATTCACATGGCCGACATTAGATGTGGCTGTGAACCACACCACTGCATCGTCATTCGCGGACGACACCAGGATACTAATGACCATAACGGACAGGAGGGACTGCGAGAGGTTGCAAAAAGTCCTCTCTGCAATATATGACTGGGCCCAAGTGAACAACATGCAGTTCAACGGGACCAAGTTTGAGGTTCTGAGATACAGAGCGGAAGAGCTGGTATGGAGCACCGCTACCTAGCACCTGACAACTCGGAAATCAAAGAGAAACAACTTGTTCGTGATCTAGGAATTTTGATGAATACTCAGGTCAATTTTGGTGATCACGTAACGGCAATAACCGCAAGAGGTAGGCGACAGACGGGGTGGATCTGGCGGACGTTCAGAACAAGAGAAGCGGAACCGATGATCACCCTCTTTAGAGCCCTTGTAATACCAATTCTCGAATACTGCTGTCAGCTCTGGACCCCGTTCAAACTCGGCGCAGTGCGGCAACTGGAAGGTGTCCAGCGAACCTTCACTTCCAGGACCAGAGGGATGGAAGAGTTGAACTACTGGGAGAGGTTGAGGCGCCTGGGTCTGTACTCACTGCAGAGGAGACGGGAGAGGTATGTCATTCTGTACAAATGGAAAATGATAACCGGAATGGTACCAAACTTCGAGAGCGAGACCTTCAGGATTGGGACATATCACAACGAGAGAAGGGGAAGATCCCACCATTACGTAACGGATCCGCAGTCAGATTTCAATCCCTGCGGGAAGGATCACTTTCCGTGGCAGGGACAAGGCTGTTCAACGTCCTACCAAAGGATCTAAGAGAGGGGGAGTTCATCCTGGAGACCTTCAAGAGACAACTGGACGTTTTCCTGGGCCCTGTTTTTTCCCCTGGAACACTACCAGCGGCGAGAAGCAAGCAACAGCATCGTGCATCAGGTGGCCCAAATGAGGGCGGATGAACGATAATCAGAGGCGGCAATCCATCGTGGCCTGGGACTGCTATGTCCCAAACAAGTACCAAGATTGCCAAGATTACCAATGTCACATGAACAGTGTTCAGAATCGACGCCATTGAAGAATAGGCCTGGATAGGCCTGTCGCCGATTCTTGCATTATTGCTTGACTAGACTGGCCTTTTGATCAAATAATTTCAACGGACGGTAGGTTTAAATCGTTTCTATATTTCAGTTGTTCCGTAGGATACGAGGCATTTCAAGACTAAACATATGCTCCTGCATGGCCTTGTCTAGTCTGTTCTTGAACGCGTTCATACTCTGAGCGTCAACAATATCTTCAGGGAGGCTGTTCCACATTTCGGTGACTCGAAGCGAGAAGAAGTGTTGTCGCATGGATGAGATGTACTGTTCCGCTCTCGGAGTAATTATGTTAGTCCGGCTGTCCGGGAGCTTTGTGACGCACGATTTAATAAGGGGGTAATAAGTCGGCAGACTTGATCCTTGTTTCCTTATATTTCGGCGTCGAAACCTGCACGTACAGGATTTTATAAGAGTGTGAACATACAAGAAACCGAGATCATATAATGATAATTATAGTTTAATGAACGCAGTTCTAGAAGAGAGCTGCTTTAAATCGAGAATACGAAGCACCATGATCATCTAGGAAGATAATTAGTTTTATGAACACAGTTCCAGAAGGGAGCTGCCTAACTTCAAGCGAGTGCAACTTCAATACACGAGATCAATCGTACTCTACTTAATCTAATTAATCTCCTCGGTCTGTCTCATGACCCTAACTGAATACATAGCTTATAGCAACTTATAAGGCACATAGAGCGGAACGAGCAATAATGAACGGTAGAGCGATCACATGTAGCCGACCACAAATGATTCCGACGGATTCAATTATTCAATATTAGTTAGCAATAACAAAATGATCTTTTGAGGATCTGACAGAAGCTGGCTACTGCTAGAGTACTAGGTTACTGGCACCTTTCACATACACTATCTTTGTTTCTGAAGTCAAAAGCGTATACTACCTACGATAGATGACGCGCAAAATGATACAGGCCGACTGCTAATGGTAATTAACTACTGCTAGGTTACTGGCCTAGTTTTCCAAACTGGCTGACCACGGTAATTAACATGACACAGGGTAAATTCGTAGGTTCTGTAACTTACGGTCTTTGAGGCTCTAGAAAAACGAACGTGGACTTCAATTCTTCAATGCTTTTCTAACGAATAGCTTTTACTACTAGAAATACCTTACGATACCTGCAAATATGGAATAAAGTATTTAGACTGGAACTATAGACCATCTAACTTCAGAGCACGGCAACTTTTCTGACAATCCCATTCATTCTCAAATCGACGATATTTCCATACAACCAAAGAACACTTGACACGCATTAGCTTAAACAAGAAGCCAAATCAATTTGCGATGATTAAATGATCATCAGTAGCAACTAGCCATTACAAAGCATTCTCCACAAGAATTCTATTTTTAGGGCAGAACAGAAACCACAAGATCTAGCTCAAGACAATTATCGCCTTGAGATGACGCTGTACTGGTTGATTTACTAAGTTGATTCAAATCGAACACTAATGGATTGAACAAATAATTCAAATATAACGGACATTCCGTGATATGCCGCTGGCTTAAGAGGCGCCCATCTTGACTAAGTGACGTACAACTTCACACAACAGCTTCAGGAATAAAAAGTAATCACTGATATTCTCACAAACAGTTTCTGCTCGTTCATAAAATCCCAATCACCCAGTAAATGCACATATTTCACATTTGACACATATAAACACGGAAATAAATTTGGCAGAGCTTCCCTCGTTGCTGATCCCAACTTCAACTGCGCGCGCATCGGCTCATTCGGCTGCGTGGGTGCTGCTGGACTTGAATTTTCCGGAATTAGCGACAATTCGATAATTTGCATGCCGCGATACACATTTAACATTATATTTACTCTACAGTTTAAAGTTACTATCTCGAGCTCCTCGGTCAACGATATATTGAAACTATTTTTACACGTTGAAATGAACGTGACATGTACCACAGTTTTTTTTA